AAGTTTGACAGTAGATTGTCACCAAAAGGTGGGCGGGGGGGGGGGGGGGGGGGGGGGGAGGGGTGGGTGTTAGGTTGGGCTAGTGGTGGAGGTTCATTAGTGTAGGAATCACTCCGGGGTCGAATGCAGCACTGCAGGGTACTCAAATAAGACCAATGCCATATTATGACATTGGTGATGGACCATATGAAGATGGATGATGTTGAACAGAAAAATCTGGTCATGGGCTATCTCTCCTTGCTAAGGGGTAACTACCACTGCCTAAGCCACAACATTCGTATGCTGAGGTTTTGATGAACAGACGGATGGATATTTTTGTTAACATAGCAAGGGAGGTTATTCTGTCTGAGAAACGCTTCGCTTCTGATTTCTCCTCTTCGACATAGCAACGGAGGTGTTGGTCTCCTTTCTTTTGAATCTCAGCCTTGTGAGAAGGGGCTTGATCCGGAGGTTAAACCAGGGAACATCCTTACTCCCGTCTGGTTTGACCGAGAGAGAGGACTCTATGCTAGAGAGCACCCCAAATAGGGCCAAGAGTCATTGGGCTGCAAAGCTCACCAGGTTGTATGGAAAAGCTCACCATGATTTTTTCACACTTTGAATTTAAAAAAAATCAAAGGAGGTGCTGACTGGACTTTGACCCATGTTGACCACTGATGATTGGACTTTGACCGCTGACCGCCGCCTGCCTCTGTTTGCCGCCATCTGCCCCCGCCCACTGCCGTTCGGGGTTCACTGCCGTCTGCTGTCGCCAGTGACTGGTGGTCCTATTTAATTTTAATTATTTTTTCTTTTTAAAGTTTAAAATAATGGAGAGTTTATGTGTTCAAAGTGGTGAGCTTTGCTTAAGTCCCTAGTGAGTTTTTGCATTGGCAATTGGCAAGCTTTGCAATATAATGTGGTGAGCATTCAGATCAGTTTTGTTGTTGGTGTCATCTTACCGTAGCATGTTATCCTACCATAAGGAGTCATACCATGGTTGTCAAGTCGACAAGTCGAGTCGAGGCGGTGACGGGGAGACTAGTGGACTAGGCGACTAGTCATAGACTAGACGACAAATCATAATTAGTATTGAAATTTTTAACATTATATATATGTACATTAACCCAACATGAATACATATATTTATATGTCAAAATACCATAACCAAAGCAAACTTATCTTTAAAGATAGCACATAAAACAAGAGTTTATGTCCCATGGATGGCTGGCTTTTCGTTTGGGGTCCTTGGATGGATCGTCTTCGTAGTCGCGGGTATTATTATCTCCCATTTGTTCTGAAATAATTATTAAATCAAATTGGTGAATATGACATTCTAGCAACTAAACAAAAACAAGAGCCTAGAACCCTTAAAATATTAAAATAAGAAGTACAAAACCAAAATATTAATTGAATTCAGAAAAAAATTGAAATATTAAACTGAAAATAAAATTGAAATACTATAATACTAGAATAAGAAAAAAATTAAATTATTAACTGAAATCAGAAAAAAACTGAAATATTAAAAAAATAAAAAAAAACTGAAAATTTTAAAGTATATTATACTTTATAGTTTAATGAATCAAATCAATGAAAATTTTATTTTAATTTTTCAGTTTAAGATTTCTTTTAATTTTTTTCTTATTCTAGTTTTTTAGTACAAAACCAAAAAATTGAAATATTAAACTGAAAAAAAACTGAAATACTAAAAGACTAGAATAAGAAAAAAATTAAAAGAAATCTTAAACTGAAAAATTAAAAGAAATACTTTAATGATAACAAAGTATAAGAAAACTTACCCATGGAGGAGAGTCGGTGATGGAGGCTGATGGAAGATAATCGATGATGGAGGAGTCGCTGGAGGCCTGGAAGTCACGGAAGTCACGCTGGAACTGGAAGACTATAGGCGCGACTCGATTGAGGGTGGATTGCGTCGAAGGAGGCAGCGTTTTGTTAAAAAATTTTAAAAATTAATGAAATTTGGGTCGGGTCGGGTCGGGTCAATTAAATTAGGTCAAATTTTGCGGATTTCTTTCTCCGATTATGCGTCGCCTAGTCGCGGCTAAGCGTCGCTTTGCGCGCTTAGTAGCCTAGTCGGCCATAGGCGCTAGTCGCACAGCAAATCTCCCTCACAAAAACGGCCGGACAACTAGTCGCCGACTAGTCGTAGCCTAGGCGACGACTTGACAACCATGAGTCATACTGGAGTCAATCCCTATGTATATTAGGGGTGTTCATCGGGTCAAACCCGGACCGGACTGGGACCGAATAAGAGGCATTTGGTGGACCGAGGACAGGACTGGTTAAGCTAAGGACCGGACCGGGACCGGACCAAATAAATGTTATTTTTAATTCTTTTAAAAATTTGATTTTATTTATTTAATTTAAAGGATTCAATTGAATAAAAATATTACTACAACTAATTTTTAATTGTAACATACACTAAACATTGTCGAACACTGTTGTTTTTAATTTTTTCAAAAACTTTAAATAAAATACATATCTTCCATCCGTATTACATAAAATTTGTTCGTAATTTTTATTTTACATAGGAAATATTCTTCTTCTTACTGCATTTTTGCTTTTTTGCAATATATTTTTTGAGTTTTCGATTTATTTTGGCAAATGGATACATTTTTTACTATTTTCACTCATGAGATTGTTTATAATGTTTATTTTTGCTGATTAGAGTTTCATTATTGATAAAGTACAAATTTAAGTTATAGTATTGGTACATAAATTTGAAATGCATTAGATCGCTGATATAAAGGTAATGTTTACTTTTTCAAACTTTTCATATTAAAAATATTTAAATATCATTAGATTTGGTATCTTATTTTGAATTGAAAACATATTTAAAAAATTATATTAAATAATAAAATCAAAATATTTGAAAAACTTTTAGTATTAAAGTTAAATTAATTTTTAAGTATAAGAAAAAATCTTAAAACATACAATATTATAAAACTATATAGAAAAAATATTTAAAAAATATATATATATATAACCGGTCCACCGGTCCGGACCGCAACCTGGTGGACCGGACCGGACCGGACCGGAACCCGAATAAGGAAATAATGAGGACCGGAGACCGGACCGAATAAGGACCGGTCCGGTCCGGTTTTGGCCGGGTTTCGGGTCGGTTCGGGTCGGTTCGGGTCCGGACCGAATAATGCACACCCCTAATGTATATATAGCCACACTCGCTTGGATTCAATTCAAAATGTTGTACTTTTTAAATACTACTCCCTTCGTCCCATAAAACCATTCGTGTTTGAAAAAAGGTGCACCTTTAAAATTGTCAAGGAACCAACTCAACCACAAGATCAAGCTTGTGGTTGTGGCCCAGGAACAATTATTTATATTTTAACATGCCCCCTCACGTGCAGGCATAGTTTTTTTCGAGCCTTGCACGTGAAATCTTAATTTTTTTTAACAGGGTGGGGCTGAGTTTCGAACCCGTGACCTCTTAGTCAACGAGGCTCCGATACCATGTCAAAGAACCAACTCAACCACAAGCTCAAGCTTGTGGTTGTGGCCCAGGAACAGTTATTTATATTCTAACAAAAATAAGTAATTTTGATGTTATTTTCTAATTTTACCCTTACTTTATAATAGAGTAGGTTGAGATGTGTACGATAGACAAATCATAATTAGAAAATAGCACCAAAATTACTCATTTTAAAGGGGCGCCTTTTTTCAAACTAGAAGGGTTTTATGGAATAGAGGGAGTAGTATACTACTCCTCCATCCCCTAGCAAACTAATTTTTGTCCTTTTTCGGTTGTTACAAGATAATCTTCACCTTTAAAGTGGTAGAGTCCTAACTTCTAAATAAATCCAAACTTCACAAACTCTGCCATCTTAAAATCCCATAAAAGCAAAGTTGAAGTTTATTTAGGGATGGAGGGGGTATGGTTTATAAGTGTACATTATAATATTTATTTCCTAGAAATAGTATTTAGAAATTTTCATATAATTATTGTTACTATTATTATTACTATTGTTATAATAATAACAATTATAATTATTATTATATTTATTATTATTATTATTATTATTATTACATTTATTATTATTATTATTATTATTATTATTATTATTACATTTATTATTATTATTATTATTATTATTATTATTATTATTATTATTATTATAAAGACTAGAATAATGTGAAAAGTAAGGTGGTAGAATCCTAGAACTCCTAACATATGCCATCATCACTGTGACATCATCTTATTGACATCACCATTATGCCCTCATCATCTTGAGTATTGTCTGTTTAAATTTAAATAGCTATAATTATATTTTACGTGTACAATTAACATATTAAGCTTACATAGACATATCATTCCCTCAGATTGTATGAGAGTAGCTCTTGGAGGGGCATCTTTTCGGGTATTCCATATCTTGTTTAAATCTGACCAAATTTATAATACCATCAAAATCATATGCTCTGCAATAGTTCGTCACTTTATCTCGTTGCTAGATCCTTTCCCACACGCAAGGTAGTCAAACTGTAATATTGAGTAAGGACCTAAAAATCGTGAGTTGAAAGATCATAAGATCCTACAATAATGTATGTGTTAGAGAAAAAGTGAAGAATAGAGCGGAACAAGTGTATAGCAAGAAACACCTGCCTTCCCGAACCTTATTTCCGAGTGGGATCATCCACTCGGATGTACAGGGAATGTTTGGGTTGGTATTGGTTGGTTAACATTCACATGAACTTAACTTATTCTGATTTTCTTTGAATTAAAATGATGCAGCTTGAGGATCCTGGAAAGGATATGCACAAGGAAGGTAAATACCTAATGCTGGCGGTTCAGCAACTGGTTTCAGGGGATCAATGTGAAGGACGATTCGTGTTTGGCCGAGAGAGCAAGAAGCCCAAGGAGTCCAGTAACAATGACAAGTTTACAAGGGATGGAACAAACCCCAAAAGCTTATTGCAAACTCTTCTAATGAGAGCAGGCCACCA